ATTGTGGTCGTACCTACTATAATGTTCTCCTGTATTGATGGAGAAAAAATATGGCACGGTATCGAAAGTGACACAGTTGATCCTGATAATATCTAGCTCGAACTACTTAGGATTGAGTAGGCTTCCTCAGTTGACATCCTATATGCGAAATAGCTTTTGCTACACCTAACCAAGGGACGTGACGGCTCAGTGGCTAAGACGCTCAGCTTGTCGATCAGAAAGGACAGTACTTTGGCGGTTTGAATCCCTAGTGCCGCGTAACGGAGTGAGCTCCCAGCTTCTGCCAACCTAGCAGTTTGAAAGCACGTAACAATGCAAGTAGAAAAAAATAGGAATCACCTTTGATAGGAAGGTAACAGTGTTCCGTGTTACTTTGGCATTTAGTCATGCCGGCCACATGACCACAGAGACGTCTTCAGACAGCGCTGGCTCTTCCGCTTTGACAACGGAGATGAGCACCACCCCCTAGAATTGGGAACGACCTTCACATACGTGTGAGGGGAGCCTTTATCTTTACACCAAACTAGCAATCCAAGTAGGAAACTTTTTAGGATGAAAACAGCAGCAAGAGTTTCTCTTCTTCATCTTTTCGGCAACATTTTTTTTTTTATAAGCTGGTACCACAACCAAAATGGATAGATTTCACATCCTTCAATTTGCTTGGCTATCCGAGGGCAGAAATATGTTTCCACTGATAAGTGCTTTTGCCCCTAGCTTGTTTTAGACAGAATTATGAGATGGATAGGGCTTTTCGTTACTTCGAAAACCCTCAAAATCTTTACTCAGTTTTGTGCTGAAGTAATTGTTTGGTAGTTAAGGTGCTTGCGAGCTTGCGCATTCTGCTCCCTTTCTCAAATACCTAAAGGCAGAATTAGAGTAAACTCTAACGAAACTAAATCAGAATGCAGAATGGAGATAACGCTATATGAATACTCATGTATTATATATGAAAGCAAACTCATAAATGAGATTATGCATGTGTTTGCTCGGTTTGTTTGTAAACAGGGAACAGAAGGCAAGCAACGCTCGATGCAAAGTTGAACGCATGCAGGCGTTTTAATAGTACACTCAACTCTACATGTATACATGAATTAATATCCATCAGGCTGGTACCTTTTTGGGTAGGCATCATTATGCAAAGGGCAAAAACAGGACAAAGAAGTAAACATAAATAAAAGCAGGAAATAAGAAACCTCCTCT